AGCAGGCCACATTTGGTAGCCCCTGTAGCGTGCTTGTAGCCGGCTTCCATTTGCTTACTATTGTTTTTTCCGCTGTTGACTTTGAAGGGAATGTATCACTACTGGACATACTCTTTTTTTTCCGAGGGGCGAAAAAGCAAATGGAAGCCGGAGTTCTGTTCTGGGAAAGCATATTTGACCATGGCGCAATTCTTGGCAGCTGCTTCCTTTGCCTTGGCCGGAAGAAGGAACACTGGTGTCATTATTTTGACGTCAAAGGCAGAAAATGGAGTTGTTTCCCTTTAACCCACTACTTAGGGGGTGGATTTGATCATGGCAAGCTCAAGGAGAGAACTTCTGTCTGCTTGGTGGTTTCCAGCCATCCCTTTTGGCATTTAGATTTTTAAGTTGGTATGGTGGTTGGGTTCCGTATTTAACCCACAAGTGAACAACTTTTAGCAGATCAGGAAACGGAGAGCCCAGTCAGTTTTCTTCAGAGCCCCTCAAGGCGTTGATAATTCGAATTTTCTTGCTGGTGCGATAGGCAGGAAATGAGGGAATGCTCCGGAAGGGGATTCTCGTTAAAGGAAACCAAATCGGGGATGGTTTTTCTTGGTAATTCCATTTCTCATTCCCTGCCTAGGTCTCCCAGTATTGCCCTTTTACCATTTTTGGGGGGGGAGGGTTATACTAAAATCGACCACAGAAAAAAGTATTATTCTAACCTCTCTACTGGCGGACCTAGCTGCCTATCGCACCAGCAAGTTTTATGTTTTCGCCCCGAAGCTCGCGGGCGAATGCTCGACGAGTTCTTGCGGGTTGGCTCGGAAACCTTTGCGGTGCCCGTTCGCCGAGTTTGGTACAGGTGGGTCTGTTCTCGGGTTGACGCACTTTCTGTCTTTTCTTTTTTGGGGGGGAGGGTCCTAAGAAAACCCTTTTTTACCCAAACCATTTGGTGATTTTAGAGGGAAACCAACATTTTGGGTACGGTCAAAAACAACAGCACGCTTTTGGTGGTTTGGCCAACTAAATGGGAAACCGGTGGGGTCCAACCTTAAAAAAGACACCCAGGTTTCAAGTGTGCACTCCGAGGTCCACCTTGCCATGGCGATTTCGTGCGGGTCCAAACTCACCCTTGGTCCGACCTGGTTGCTGTCAGACTCACAAACAAATAGGATGGAGCCTCAAAAGGGAGGGGCGGTCACCCACACCGAGATTCCGATGGGGGCAGATTTCTTGATGTCCATGTTCACCCAAACCGAGATTACTCCAATAGATCCTGTCTTGGTTTCCATGTTACTGTACCTTTTGCAATGGAGTTTGTTGAAGATCTGAAGTGCGTCAGGCCTTCCAATACTTGGACCCAAAGCACACCGGCTACATCACCGACCACGCGAAATTCGCCGAGGCGTCGAAACTGGCCTTCGAACAGACCGCGGGGGCACACCTGAGGTCAATTTTGCAAGCAAGGTGCAAATTTGACCGAAAGGTTCCTGTAAGACTGTACCCCTAAAACCTCAAAATTCCAACTTAAACATTGCCCCAAAACTATAGTTAGCGAATCCTTTTTTATGGGTAGTTTGAGGGTCGAGGTACACCTCCAAGCGACCTCATTGAAGTGCACCAGGGTCCACCAAAGCCTTCTTGTGTGCTTCCATGCTGATGTTGCACAGCACTTTGGTCTGACAACGAAAATGGCCAAGTCTGACCAATCTGGCCATGGGGTCGGTGGCCATGGTGTCTTTGTCTGCAATGCGCCTGAATAATTCTAGGCAGGATGGTCGGGTAAGCCTTAATTGGTGGTTTGGATTGGTTTGGGGGTTTAAACGGATCCCTGGTTCGTGTAGAAGGTAAATGGGAAACCACCCCTGAACCACAAAACAACGGGCTCCAAACCACCAACTAGCGGGAAGCTGAGATTTGTTCTGAGTTGAGGTCTCGCAACCTTCATGCTGGTGCCGTACCTCAAATGATGCCCTTGTCCTTCGCATCATGCTGACGGACGAAATCCATTTCGCACCACTTTCAAACCATGGTTGAAATCATTATTGCTTGATATCTACGGGGGAATCATCATTCCAGAGTTGTTTGTTTCCCAAGGTTTATTCCAGAGTTTCTCTCCAGGGTTTCTTATGTGTTGCTGGCAGACTCTTTGACTATTCGGACAAACATGCTTTTGCCAAGAATTTTGGCTCAGGAATACTTCCTGTGCAAGCAGACTTCGGGAAAGCACATCGGTTTGCCCAGAACCATGGCTGCGGTGCATGCCCTTTTGCAAGCAGCGCAACAAGGGCAACCCTGGAGACTGCGTTGGATGCGATATGATGTCAACCAAGGTTTCATTGCGTGGTGCGAAATGGATGACTCGCAACCGTTCCCATGGTTGTAGCTAAGCCCAGTGAACCAGTTATAACCATATGGGCGCCCTTTTCATGGAAATTTTGCGCTTTTCAAAAGGGAGTTGTGTTTTTTGTTTTTCCTTTATGCGCAACTGGCATGAATCAACCAAAGGTTCAGCAAATGCATAAAGGTTACCATGCGCGTTTTGGCTTTACTTCAACTCGATTTGTTTTTTTCTGCCTCAAATGAAGGCAACTTGGATGGTTAGGTTGGCTTCCGTCAGCCTCTCTCAGGTAGCTGAGGCGTTGGCGAACTTGCAAGGCTCCACGGATGAAGTCGGAGGGCCCAAGCCGGTCTTCAGTTCGGAAGGGTGGACCCCGGAGGAGAGGAGTCAGCCCGGGTTTGGTGAAAAAGCGTAGGAGCCACCCTGGACATTTATGGGTCTTAGACCCCATGTTGGGTACTGGCCATCCATTTTTTTGGTTGGAAGTCTCCTTCTGACCCTTGAAACATGGGTCGATGACCCCATTATTTGGTATTGACCATCCATTTTTAAGTTGGAAGTCTCCTTCTGACCCTTGAAACATGGGTCGATGACCCCATTATTCTGGGTATTGACCAGCCATTTTTTTAGTTGGAAGTCTCCTTCTGACCCTTGAAACATGGGTCAATGACCCCATTATATGACCAACCATTTTTTAAGTTGGAGACTCCAGGTAAGGGTGTTCCCCGGGTTTTGGCAGGCATTCCTCAAATTGGAGGGGAACACACCCCAAAAACAAGCACACAGGGGTGTTATACTCCGGGGTCAACAGTCTTCCCGAGCTCGTGGTTTTCTTGCTGGTTCGATGAGCCCGAGATAAACCATCCAACTGGTGATTTCCGTCCAGCGGACCAAAGCCTCGGGTCATTCCCAAAACCCGGAAGGGTCCTTGCTTGCTGAGAACCAGCAAGTTTGGGCACTATTCTCATTTGTTTTCCGGGGACTTAAGCAAATGGAGGAGTTTGTTGTAAGTGTTTTCCACAAAACAACGAGCAAACGAGCGTTTTGGGGACATTGCTCCAGAATCGAAAATGCAAGCCTTGAGCTACTAACCTTGAGACCCCTCCCATGTAACACAACGATAGGTTTGCGTTTGTATCCGTTTGGGTCTGTTTGATTTGTTGTTGTGCAGCGCCGAGCGGGGGGTGATCGGACCTTACATTGCAGATGATGGAGAAGACTGGAGTCAGTTTGGTTCTAGACAATGACCCACTGTGAGTGGACGAAATCCTGCACCACCTAAGAAGTCCTAGAGTGGCGCTTCCCCTGCAAATGCCAACAAACAATAGTTTCAACCATGGTTTCAAAGTGGTGCGAAATGGATTTCGTCCATCCACAGTAGGGCCCATGTTTTGCAGGCGGGCAGTTACAGTCTTATCTCGCCCGAGGCGACCAATTCTCTTTGGCTGAGGTCTGGAAGACCCTGGACCAGGAGCGAGCGTGAAGCGGGCTATGGAGAAAGCCGCTTTGCACACCCCAACATGGTGGTTGTCCTTTTGGCTTTCCTTCAAGAATCCGACCGAAAAAGAAGGGGGCGGGGCACCAGTCCATCTAACTTGTCTTGCTCCCAGCCATCCGGTTCCCTAGCTTTTTCACAACTTTTAGTGTTTAGTGCTTGGGTTTCCTTTTTTTGAGCCCACTAACAGTCCGTCAAACTTTTCGCAGATCTGAAAACGGGCGCATCTAAGGAAGGTCCCTGGGGGTCAAGGGCTGAAGTCGGCCCAAACCGCGAGCTGCGATCTCCTAAATTTGGACACGCCAACGTGGCACCTGGCACTTGGCCAAGTGCAGCTTCGCCTGGGGGTTACAAGAGACCAGGGAAACCCGCTACCAACAAAGGATCGGGGGGTGTTCTTTACATCTGAGAAGTGGCCCTCGCCACATGGGGCATTGTCTATCCCTTCACGACGTGGACATACCCAGAGGGCAGTCTGCAGTAAGTTCTTGGGTGAAATGTTTGGTCAACGTTTTGGGGCCGAAGGGAACTTTGATCAAGCGCCTCTGGCAGGACGGCAATGGTCAAGTGAACTGGCCAGAGTTTGTGGAGTGGGCGGAGGCCTGGCTTGACCGAAAGGCGAGAATCCTGGCAAGCAACTGACCCGTGATCCAGCTGGCTGCAGGCAGTTGGGTCACGTGTTGGATGTTCTGACGCACAGTTTGCAAGATGGTCACCAGTGGCCCAGTGGTGCCCCTTTTTTTTTCTTCTTTTTGTGTGGGAAGGGTTCCAATTCCTTTAAAGTCAACCCACCAAAAAAAAGAGGATGCCCTCTTTTCCCCATGGCCACTGGGCATCTGAGTGGTTCTAAAATCGTTGGGCAACCTAAGCTACGGAAAGCAAGAATTCCCTCACGAGCAAACAGACTGCTTGCTTTTTGAGGCGAGCCCTGGGTTGGTTTAAAGGGACAAAGGAACACCTTTTCACAATCTCATGTTAATGTTCATACGTTTTTATTTTTTCGTGCACACCCCATGTTTCATGATATGTTTGTGTTATTTGTTTTATGTGTGCCGCCGTGAGTTACGTGAGTTCATTGGGGCTCCATATCCTAGACACGCCCGCGCGAGAAAATCTTCGCAGACCTGTGGTTGGCGATGCCGAAGCCGAGATGAAAGCCTTTTGTTTCTTCTGTTTTGCTGCGGATGGTTGAACTCAAAATTCACCAGTCGCGCACCACGAACTCAAACCATGGATGCAACCAGAATGTTTGTTGGTATTTACAGGGGAATCGAATTATAGGGTATCTTCGGTGGTGCGTGATTTTGTCCATCCACAGTCTGAATGCTTAGTTGAAAATACCCCTTGTTTTTAATGGTTCAAAGTTTACCCGCCACCTTTTGGTTGCCAGGCTAACCCTAGGGTTTGCCACCACCATTGAAACGAAGGGGTTTATATAACCACCCGATTTTTACCTAAGGGTTGTCATCTAAACTGTGCCCTGGCCTTTGTTTTAATAGAAACCCCAGGGTTGAGCTGAGTCGGCTTGAGCGATCGAGAGGGATTTGGAGGAGAGCCGCTGCCTGGTAGGGGGACTCCAGGGCAGTTACCCGAACCAGAACCCAGTTGCTGGTGCCCCGTTTTTCCTTTTCAAGGGGAAGGGTTCCCCTTTAAAGTCAACCAACCAAAAAAGGATGCCCTTTTTTTCCCACTGGGCATCTGAGAGAACATGTTTTTTGCAATTTGAATGGATCGGAAGGCGATTGGAGCGAACGCGCCTCGCGGCACCACCATTTTTGGGGGCCTGAACCCTCAAGCTACCCATTTACCCATGTACGGCCCCTGCCATCACCCCACTCGCCCTGTGCAATGGCGGGGTTGGTTGAAATTGGTTTGGCATTGATGTAGGATGTGGGCAAGCTTGAATTTGAGTAGGGAATACCTAGGGATTTCCTTAAGGAACCACCAGTTGGATGGTTTTCCCGGGTCATTGCAGCTGGCCATGGGCTTTTCAGAATCCCAAGCCCGTACCCCCACTGAACATCCCAATCCAACCACTAAAATCGGTTCTAAAATGGGCGGTGAATCACCTACCCCAACAGGTGCCAAAACGGTTTTGACCACCACAGCCAACTCCTTCCCTGGGAACCGGCCGCCTTCCGGGCCTTCCGGAGCGAGCCAGGCGAACCACGTGGAGTTGGAGCTAGGCGCGGTCGGTTCGGGTGGAGACCTTGGACGCGTCAATTTTGCGTAAGAATAGGTTTTTGTTTTTGTTTAAAGGAAAAATCCCCTGTTGGTTTTAAAGGGAATCGATTTTACAGCTGCAAATAGTGTTTTTCCTTTTTCCAGGGGTCGAACAACCAAATGGAAGGATGGTGCTCAGCAGGGAGTTGAATGAGTTGCAGGGACACCGAACAAAAACGATCCAACTGGTGGTTTCCTTTAAGCTAATCCCTGGGTTCATTCCCACATTCCTTGCTGAGCACCAGCAAGCTTTCTGGATGGTTTTAAAGGGAAACCACAAGAAAGCACAACTCATGTTCGGATTTCCCGACTGTGGATCCATTTTGCAACACGAAAGGAAACCATGGGAAGGAAACCATCACGTTTGGTATTTGCGTTGGGGAATCATCATTCTGTTGGGTTTCGTAGGTGTTGCGGGGTTTCATCCATCCGGATGGATGTCCTATTCGGAGACCAAACTGGGTCAATATCTTTGTCAACCCTCGGCAGCCTCCCGGAACTGGTGCCTTTGGTTCCTTGCGCGCGCGCCTCCTGTTTCGACCAAACAAGAAGGCGTCCTGGGTGTGTTTCCGGGTTCAATGCAAAGGGGCTTTGTAGCACCACCATCATTTACCTAAGGATTTGTCATCATCTAAATTGGGTCCTGGCCTTTGTTTTGATGGGGGTTGAGCCCCAGATGTTTTTTTGTTTGAATCGTTGTTGACCGGCTTTCTGGGGACACATCCAGCTCTGGCTTTCTGGGGAAGTGAGTTCGGAAAAACGGGACATGTCCAGCTTTGCTCCGATTCCTATTTTCAGACACCCTCTTAGACCTCTCTGGCAGAGGTCCAGGACTCCAGTTTGCAACCTTAATGTCATGAGGATGGTTTTTGTAGGGTCTCAGGTTTTACTAGGGTTTTAGGCTTGTTTCAAAAGGACACGAAAAGGAAAACTCACATTTTGGGGGGCCAACACCTAAAAATGACACACCCATACTATGCATGGTTTCGCGAGTCATCCAGAAATCGCACCACCGAAATCAGAAACGCGAGCGAATGATTTGTGATTCCCCTGCTGTAAATCCCAAGAAACGTTATGGTTTCCGTGGTTCATTTCGTGGTGCAAAATGGATGACTCGCAACCATCCGCAGTACCTTTGCTTTTGTGCTCGAATTGCCGCGAGTGCAATGGCATGCAATGGCTCTTGGCATTTGTTTGGCAGGGCGGAAGTTCCATGTTAGCACATGATTTTTGGATGGAATGCGTTCAGAACACTGTTGAAGTGGAAAGTGTTACACAGCACCTCTGGCACACATGCTTGACTCCGGCCTCACAATGTTATTCAGTTCTCACTCTTCCCGGGAAACTTCTCAGCAAATGGAGGCTATGCATTAGGGATCCCGATGCTGAAGCAATCCAGCGCTGGGCATTTGGAGTGCTTGTTTCCGGAGGCCTTGGCGACGATGAAGGCGGCGTCTCCTTCCCTGCTCTTTGGACCGGCGTTTTGTTCGGTGTGGGGTCAGGATTGTATTTCCGGGTTGCGGGCAATAGGCAATATCAACCACGGGTTCTTCAATGGTTACCATTCATTAACATATATGGGGTTTTGTCTTCTTCGTCTTTTTTTGGGGTTGGGAATGGCGGATATTCCTTTGGGTTTCCCTCGAGAAAGACACACCCGTATGTGCGTTTTGAATCGGGGCTTGCATGGAAGGCACGTAGGGAGGTTCTAACCCAAAGTTTCTTGGGCGTCGGATATGGGTGTTTCTAAACATGGGTATGAATCTCAATAAAGAGGCACCGCAAAAGTGGTAAGTGGACAAATCATCCCCAAATGATGTCCACCAAAGCGTCCCCAAAAAGATTCATACCCACACAAGTCTTTTTGGCTCTCTCTCTCTCTCTCTCTTTTGACACCCATGTCCTCCTTTTGCGAGCTGCAGACCGCTCCTTTCAAGCGGTTTCCCGCGGCTCCTTTATTGAAACTTGGGACGTGGCTCCAAGAGGCAAAAACCGTGCCACTCTTGGGCCTGAGCCATGTCCTTTTGATCGGTCCCACCTTTTTTGACATGGAGCCTGAGGTTCGGGACCCGGGCCCTAAGGGACATGGTCCAGACCCCCCCCGAACCTCAGGCTCCATGTGAAAACACGGCCGGGGGGTTGCTTGGAAATGGAGATGGGCTCTGGTGAAGAGATGGGTCTTATGCCCTTCATTTCCCAGGGAAACCCATCTGTTTGTTCCTATGCTTTCAGCTGAAACCCGAATGACTCAGATCGCCAGTTGTCGCTGCATCAATACTGCGGATGGTTGCGAATTCTGCTTCTAGCCCCACCGTTCAGAAACGCATGGTTCCCCTGCACATACCAAGAAACTATGGTTTCAACCATGGTTTCAAAGTGGTGCAGCATGTTGTCCATCTACAGTACAACCAGTCAGTGCAAAGTTAGATATTCAAGTTGACACAGCCCTGCTCTCTTTTGGTATGGTCCCTTGCATCACTGAAACCACGGGTTTGTTCCATTTTACAGCAAGACACAGAATCATCAACTCATCATAAGCCCAACAAATCTAAAACCAGGCTTGTGAAGTATGCTAGCATGATGGAGACCGAGCTGGCCATGAAATCAAGCTAAACACATTTACAATGGCAAGTATGATGTTGAGCCTATGCAGCCAGATATGGCTGGGCTGAAAAGCCATGTAGACAGCCCGTGCCAGGGTGGAACTTAGCCGCAGAGAGCGCGAACAACAAAAACAACAGGTTTCACAAAAACACCACTGGAAGCAGTTCCGAAAATGACTTTCAATAGGGTATGCTGTCTAACGTAAGAATACAATAGAACAAAGCAACATGCGCAGCGTCAAAAGGACCTCGTCGTCAATGACTGGTCGCTACTAGTATCGGCCCCAACCCCAGCATCGACGGGTACAATTGGAATGATGTAATGTTAACCCCACATTCATCAACCAGATTATCAATAGGGAGGGTGCTTCTCCCTGGCTAAAATTTGTGGGGATCAGCCCACTTTTGGAGGGGCCACAAATCACCCCCTTATGAAACAGGTGATGGTTTCTCCGGGGTTCAGCCCGGGCGCGCGCGCTTTCAGAGAGGGTTCAAAGGGGTTGCCCACGTGGCCTCTATCTCAATAAACAAAGAAGAACGTCCCGTGGCAACGTGGACAGGCTACCAGAGTCAAAAGGAATCAACCTTTTGGTAAAGGGCCATTTTTTCTCACTTCCTGAGTTCCTACTTGAGTCACTTTTGGGGTTGGTCCATTTTAGTGAGAAGCTGGTTCCTCTTTTGTGGCCCATCCTTTTAAGTGAGAGCTACGTGCGTTTTTTGCCAAAGCGAGTGGGAAGCGCAGGACCGGGCCCCGCGACAAGGCCACCTGGGTGCAGCGACGGGCTCGGAGGTTTGCCTCGGCTTGGGCGGTCGGCTTCGGCCGCGGACCCCTTTTTTTCCGGTTAGAAAAAGGTTTCGGATGGGTTCCGATGGCGTCAGCTTGGACATTATTTGTTTTCGGCGTTTTGGGAAGTGTCTACACATGTGCGTTTTGGAAACTGAGCTCTGGGAGGATTGCCCATTTGCGGGTTGATGTTACCATCCAAACGCTTTTTGCGAGCATGGCGTCCCCTACAAGAGGTCACCCCCAATTATGGAGGTTCACAGGACCATGCTTGGGATTCAGACAGGAGCCCCCCTTTGCGGACCTTCTTGTCATTGCTGAATGGGGGAATCCGTTGTCCAACTGAATTTGACAGCCCTTTTACATGATATTCGACCGCTTTCCTCTTCACGTCCGTGCATGTGGGAAATAGTCTACTAAGTTCCCGGACCCTCAAACTATTCATTAAAACAAAAAAAATCGCCCGGCCCGCAATTTTAGGTTGCACTACTTTTCCAAAGGGCAAAGGCTGGGAATTGATGTCAAAGCCCAAAAGCCCCGGAAAAAAAAGTCGACATATCGATTTTCCGGCCACACCGCCGGAGCTCGTGCTCCCTCGCGTGCGCGCGCGCGGGTTTCGCGGGCGGGCAAAGGCAATACGACATCACGGACATGGACCAGTTCATGGAGCTGGATCAACTCGTCCAGAGGCCAGCGCTCAGCGCCCCCGTCGCCCCGGGTGCTTTGAGGCTTCTGTCCTCCTGCCGCTGAAAGAACGACCCAGAGAAAAAATGGACAAGGGAATCCACCGGGCGAATGACGCTTTTGGGGGGTAAGAAGCTAGGTTCAAGTTGGAATTGTATGGGTCCCGGCAGTGGTTGTCTTGTTTTTTGTTGGGGGGGGGAAAGCGGCTTTGACGCACGAACACGCGGCAATAACCATGATTTCCTGTTGGCCAGTAGTGCTGGCCACCGTCAAGATTAACCAATGGTAGCATGATAAAACTCGGTGAGACTGGGTCCCCCGGTAGTGCCCTTTTACCCGTTTTTGGGGGGAGGGTTCCCCTCCTAAAATTTAGACTACAGAAAAAATGTTGGTACTCTTTTTCTAACCTCGCTACTGGAGGACCTAGGAGACTTGTCCAGAGATTTGGTTTGGGTTCTCAAACTCGCGCCACGAGTTGGGCCGAAGCTCTGGAACATTGAACCGCATGCCCACAGCGGTCGCATCTGTCGCATGCGAGGCTCGTCATGTTTTAGGATGCGCGCCCAAAATGGATCTTGGTTGGCTTTCTGGCGTCCCTTTGCCTTCAACCGCAAAAAAAAACAAAAAACGAGGTACCGAGCCTGAAAAAAGCGACACAGCCACATCCGCGTGAGCCTAGCATGTGCTGGCGGCTGGCGTGAGTGCCTGAGTCACTTCAGAACCCGAGCCTATCTCTGACTCCGCAGTCTGCCAACGTCACCCTGTCCTTGATGCAGCTTGGGTAGGGTTGTGCATGGATGCCAGGGACGTGGGGGCGAAATTGCTTACCTCTCGACCACTGCTGTTATGTTCCTCCCTCACCCTGCACAAGTGTTATGTGCACAGCATTGCGAACACGTTTGATCTTGTAGGGCATTCACTTGATTGATCGAGGATTCATTTTGGTGGTTGTCGAACCTTTCCCGTCTTCATGAGAACAGTAGGTCCCGATACGTCCAACCCTGGCTGCCGCATTCAGCTTTGTGTTTATGGGGGCCGTGGAGGCCATCTGTGGCAAGCTCTTTTTGGTGGGCTGGTGGTACCCTTATTCTAACCCCTCTACTGGAGCACCTAGCTGCAGCTATAGGGAGCATTATGTACGGCAACTCCAACTTACCTCTATCCATGTCCCCATGCGCGCCCCATTTCTTTGGTGCATGTTGCTTGGATGTTAGGACTTGTTTTTTTGCCAACTAGTGGGTTTTCCATCAAACCACTAAAAGTTATTCACTTGTAGCAGGGGAGCAGAAAGCAACCGAGAAACCATGTCCCCCTTCCCTCGCCATTTTGTTTTGCGCCGCCAGGTCTTACAAGAAGATCTGGACAAGGGACCGGAAGAAGACCGGGGAGGACAAGGTGCCTTTGGGCTACGAGCTGGTCAAGGCGCCGGCCTTAAGCACCCGCGCGGTTTCAGGTGTTGGGTCCAAGTGGGTTGCAGGTGCGGGAGCTCTCACTACAAAACAACGAGAACTTGGCTTGATCGCTGTTGAGTAACGGATCTTTCGCCTAAAAGTTGTTGGTTGAAGTCAAGGGTTTTCCATTGAGCTCACAAAAAGTTAAGCTGCATGCTGTTGCATCCAAGCTGTCGAGATGTTCCCTTTTGGGCGGTGCAAATTGTTGGGCAATGCGTGAGTCAAGTTATGTCAAGTTATGTATGTCATCGCCACACAGCATGCACCAAGCAATGTGGTCACAGAGCGCATGTGCAAGTCGTTGAAAGCGGCATACGGCCTCCTTGGTCTTTGGATTTCCCGGCCACAAGGTGTGAAGGATCAGCCGAACCCACTGAAAACCTACCTTGCTGGTGCGAGAGATGCAGGGAATGAGAACTGGAATGAACCTGAGAATTCCCTTAAAGGAACCCATAGGGGATGGTTCATTCCCTCTGCTGAGCACCAGCAAGCTAGGGTCTATTCAAGTTTGACCTGTGGTGCCGGCGGCGAGACCGCGGGCGCTGCTGCAAGGTTTGCTACCCCAAGGCTCTTGACCCCCTCCAAACCTCAATGAAGACCTCGACCCGGGGCCCGTTGAAATTCAACCCATGCGGGGGCAATCGAGAGGTATCGTTAGGGTGATCGCTTTGTTCTCTTTCCAAGATTGAAGCTCAGATCATTGCCTTTGCACCTGGTCATGGGCAATACTAATGAGAGGAGATTGGTTTTGGTAAATGGACAGGTTTCGAGTCATTTGAACATACTTAGTTGGATAGTGCCGGAAAATTGCCCCCCCCCCCCCCCATTTCCCCCCCCCCTCTCCAGGTTTTTTTGGTTGGTTTTGGGGGTGGGGGAGAAGGGGGGGAGCAAAAAAAGTGGCCGGGTGCGTTCGGCTTGTAGGCCACCCGTTGCGAGAACTTGAAGGATTGGCCGGGGCCTTGATCGGTGACTCGCGCATCATGAGACCGCAAGGGATCCCAAGGGCCAGTTCAGTTGGTTCTACCGGGTCTCAGTTGTTCAGTGGCTCCCCTTTTCCCTTTTTTTTTGGTGGCTGCCCCACTACCATGGTCTACCCACAGTTGAGTGGGTTCCCTTTTTTTTCCAGGGTCACTGAACAACTGAGGGGTTTCCCGTGCTGTGGATGGTTGCGAATTCCTCGGAAACCCAACGGAAACATGCTGTAGATACCAAGAAACGTAATATGGTTTCAACCATGGGTTCACAGTGCTGTGAAATGGATTTGTAGTGGTTATAGTAAAATACAGGTTTTGGGGTACGCCACTTTGGATGCAATCCTGCCTCAGTTGCCAAATTGTTTGTGGGAATCGCATGTGACCCAGGATTTTTGGTCCGAAGATTGGTGATTCTTGCGAATGCTCGCATTGGTGTGATGAGCACATCCAACAACGTAACCTCAGGTTTGCATGTGTCCATACACGTAGATGATGGGCATTCTTCAAACTCAAACGTAGACCCGCATATAGTTTAATCATGTTTCGCCCTGTCGCTGCGTCGCAGGAGTGCAGGTGTTGTGCCAAGATGATGTTTGTAACGCTGCATGCAAAGACGCCAGCTTCAGAACAAATCCATGCTGTATGTTGTGCCCTTGTTGGGGATGTGGTATTCGGGATTCCGGATTCGGGATTCGGAATCCCATGTCGGGATTCGAATCCCAAGTCCTAAGCCCTCAAAACTCCAACTTAAGAATACCCCCAAATTATGACGTTTCTGGGTACCTGGAGTCTCCATGACCCTTAAAAAGTGGGATAAAGTGGGGTCATTACTCAAAATACAGGGATAAGGGGTCATGGACCCATTTTTAATATGTTTAAAGGGCTCCAAATCACATCTCCCTCGGCCGACTTCTGTATCATGACATGCGCGGAATTTTCATCGAATCGGACTCCGAAAGAGGATTTGATTGGGCCTTTAAGTTGCTCGGAGGATTAAAGGGTACAACAAATTGCATCGGCATCCTTCAAATTCCCGAAATGTTCTTCCTGGAGTCTCCATGATCCTGAACAAATGGGTCCATCGACCGCTTTCTTGTGGGTAATGACCTTATTTTGTTGGGGTCCATGACTCCAGGTACCCTTCCAATCTCTGGCTGAGCTCGACCAAGGAAGCGCTATTACTTCCGCAGGCATCAGTGCGGGAGCCCAGCGCCGGGTGGAGACTGACCAACCAAGTTTTGCAAGGGGGGTGCTGTGGATAGACGAAATCCACTTCGCACCACCGAACTTGATGTCATGGTTGAAACCATGATGTTTCTTGGTATTTACAGGGGAATCATCATTCCAGGGGTTCTTAGGTGGTGCAAGATGTTGTTTATCGACACTACTAGGGTGGACTCAATCTGTACGGCAAGCTCAGCAAAGCCTGAGACGCAATGTGTCAATGTGTACCTCCACAACTCTCTGGCTTGCTTCCGTTCAGAGAACTTGCTAAAAAGTCTGGACCCTCGAAACTCCAACTCAAAACTTGGTTTCCCCAAAAAAAACCTCGGGTCGGCGGATTCCCTGTTTTACGTGGTGGTTCTTTTTCGGGGTCCAGGTCCACCGACAATTTGGCCGAACGTCGGTCGCCAAAGCCCCGCGTCAGTCGAGACCGATCAGCGAGGATCGCCCACGCCTGCAGCCAGAAGTCCAACTTCTTGGAGCGGCCCGTGCTCACCAGCCAGGATCGACGTTTCGACCCGATCGACTTTTCGATTTTCGATTTTCCGCGTCGCGCGATCCAAACCCCATGACGCTTAATTACTTGGGCGACATGACCTTTTCGCAAATTGTTCGTGGCTTACTTGGTGGAAAACTCAGGGAATCATCCGGTTCAACTCAGAGTTTTAGGTGGCTTTTGGTTGGTGTAGTGACGATTCGGCGGCAGATCGCCGGCGGGTCGCGCGATCGATCCACCATTCCCGTGGCTTGCTTGGTTTGGGGATTTCAGCGAATCGATCCGGCTTCGACTTCGGATTTTTTAGGTGGGTTTTGGTTGGTGGAAGTGTGGTTGGGTGTCAGCCATCCGGCTTCGAATTTTTGCCACAAGTTAAACTTTAAGCAGATCTGAGGACAGCCCAGTTATGGAATACAGGGTTGGGTTACAGGAAAATCTACGGGAAATGGCCCCAATGCACCCAAGCTGTTTTCCCTCTAGAATGTCCTTTAATCGTTTGAAGGTACCATCGGGGGGGGTTAGGGAGCCTTAGGGACCCCCACCCCTGGACCACCTCGTTTTGGGGACCCAGAATTTGCAGAACTTCTGTTGGTGGACTGCCCTTTCACCACCAAACCAGACATCAAGCACAGAGCAAGCACAAATCACAGAAGGGTACTCTTCCCGGCTACCGGACTTCTGTAGCGATTTGCGTTCAAGGCTTGCTCGGCAAGTCAGATGCAAATCGTCAAGCAATCCGGAGCTGGCAACGTTATAGGCCTAAAGCAGCACTGTCCAATGTGTTTGAATGTAGCACTTCCATTGATGCGGGTTGTTGAGATGCGCTTTCATACATGGGTTTGACATAGCACTTGCTATAGTTTTGAGCTTGCGCCATGAGCGGACCGCCTTTTCATAGAGTTTGACCGTGCCTTTCAAAGTGGCGCGCCTTGAAGCAAACGCCTTCAGGTATTTGGGTGTGTGTTTTGTGAGGGACCCCAAAGGGGTGGTTTCAAATGGACTCCGAAGAAGTTCCATTAGGGGGTCTAGTAGACACGCGCTGGTTTAACACACCGGGACCCCATTTCGGGGTTCCCCCTACTGTGGATGCACAAAGTCCTGCACTATGATGATTCCCCTACAAATACCAGGAAACGTTACGGTTTCAACCATTGTTTCAAAGTGGTGCTAAATGGATTTCGTCCATCCAAAGGAAGTCACTGTTTAATGGTCCCCCCGAGGTCAGAAAATTGTGTTAAAGCCTTTGGGGCAGGTCGTTTCGAATGTCCTCAATGGTCAATGACTCACTAGCCACCAGACTGCTGGGGGTCAACACCGAAGAAACACTATGATGATTCCCCGACAAATACCAAGAAACGTTACGGCTTCCATCCCATGGTGTCATTTCGGTGGTGCGAAATGGATGACTCGTCCATCCAGAGATGCTCCATGATGCTCTGGCCCATGTTGTTTATAGTCATAAAACCCTCCCACCAACCAACATGGAAGTGCAAAAAGGCCCTTTCCAAGAGGAAGGTCAAACCCATGTTAGCTGGTGGGAGGGTGCTTGGATGAAGTGGGGCAGTATGTTGCCCCCCCCCCAGACGTGGAGTCCCGACTCATAGCGGTCGCATGCGCTCGCTGGGCCAGGCCACGGGTGTGTGCAAGCGTCAGGGCTTGCGCAGCTACTGCAATGAGCGGCTCGGCTCAGCCTCAGCGGTTTTGGGTTTCACCCCAAAAAGCGTTTGTGGAAATTCATCCCAGAAAGGTACGGGGGGGTAGGAGGGTAGGGGGGTAGAGTGGGAAGGGGGGTAGGGGGGGGGGGGGGGTGGGGGGCGGAAAGGTTTCCTGAGCCATTGGAGCGTGTGGAAGTTCATTTCAAGGGGATAGGGGCGGGGGGCAAGGTGTCCTGAGCCATTCCAGGCTTGTAGCTGTGCAACGAGAACAGTTTGGCGCAAGAACGCAGGGTTCCCTCTGAAGGAAACCCAAAAGTGGACACCACGAGTAAATTGTTTGACTTGTGAAGGGCAATCCAGGTAGATCATTTGGTTGAGTGTTTTTTCCCTAACTCACTTCCGTAGTTCCTGGACTTTTTGGGACTTTTTGGGTTGGGACCGTTGTAGTGGTAAATGAAAAGTCGTACTTTCCTGGCCAATCTACTCGGGAAGTGAGTTAAGTTGTGACTTGTCCGCCCTGCGCGATGAGCCATCGGCCCTGGAGAGTCGTTTCTCGAAGTGGGCATCGGTCACCCTTTGGAGAGCCCAGAATGGGTAGCTTCCCCTTTGGCCTCCTTGGAAACCATCCAACAACGGGAACTCTCGAAAAAATGACACCCATATGGGCCATGGTCAAACTCCGATTCTCTCTTTGACCGATTCGGTCATCGTTCCCTAAACAGGAATCATGTTGATTAAGGATCCTGACTACTCGGTGGATGACCGTCCCTGTTAACCCCCATGACACATGACACATGTTGTTTTTTTCCCCACCTTCCACCCCAAACCCGATGTCAAGATACATTTCAAGATACCTCTAGGGTTTGACTCCCCATTGTTTTGAACCATGTTTTTTTTTTTTTCTGACACCGATCGCCATGTTTTTTTGGCCTGATGGTTTCCTGAAAAGAAGGACCCCTGCCAAAGCCCAGCCAAAATTCCCCAGCAGCTTAACAATGGGTGACTACCCAATTTGTTATTAACCCCTCAACATGGAGGTTTGTTCAACCCAAATGGGTTATTACCCCAAAATGGGCTATTCCCCAAAATGGGGTATTACCCCAAAATGGGTTACTGCCCCAAAATGGGTTATTGCCGCAAAATGGGGGATTACCCCAAAATTGGTTGTACCCCAAAATGGGTTCTTGCCCCAAAATGGGTTATTGCCCCCAAAATGGGTTATTGCCCCCAAAATGGGTTATTGCCCCAAAATGGGGTATTACCCAAAATGGGGTATTACCCAAAAATGGGGTATTGCCCCAAAATGGGGTATTGCCCCAAAATGGGGTCTTGCCCCCAAAAGTGGGGTATTACTTCAACAAGGGCTTTTTACCAACCTTTCTTTCGTGCCTCGTCTGAGGGTCAGACCTGCCGAACGCAACAACCGCTTGGCCAAACCGCGAGGTGGCTGCTGTTCCACGGCACCAGCCCGGAAGCCGCCAAGTCCATTCTCTCGGGTTGCCCGGGGCTCGGGGTCGGCCGGTCAGTCGAGGGGGCCGGTCGAAACCAGGCGGCGGCCGCAACCGGGGAAGGGTCCGGTTGCACTTGAAGGTGTTCAGAGTTGTAATTTCTGGGCTCCCAGAGCCATGCGGTTCCTTAGCTTTTTTTGCAACTTTTAGTGTTTAGTGGTTGGGTTTCTTTCATTTAACCCACTAAAAGTTAGACTTTTAGCAGGGGATCTGAGGACAGCCCAAGTGCAAGTTTCGGAGGAGATTCGGCTGAAGGGCTGCCTTTCTCACTTCCTTTGTTCTTTTGGAAACGATTCGAGGCCGCCGAAAAAAAATTGCATCGCGATTGCAACTGATTGCAGCTAGGCTGTTTGAAGGGACACGGCATCTCCTGCTTGCGCTACGAGGGACGTACACTTGAGCAGCCCGGGTTCAGTTGGTGAGTCAACGGTCCCATGCCAGCGATGTCTACAGAGTGTGTCAAGCGGGCAGGTGCGTTATTTAATTCTTTCAGGTCGGTTTCCTTTGCTGCCCCCCGTTGCAGCTGTTTGCTTTGACCTTCCCAACCTTAGCCTTTTGCATAAAATGTGAATCCACTCATCCCCTCCTCCGACCAGAGGCAATCTATTTTTTTTGGTTGAGGCGATGTTGATTTGCGGTCCTCCGCCCCGCAAATCAGCAGAAACTTTTGTAAAAGCCGTTGGCCTTTGGGGGGGCACCTGAAGCCAGTGGGAGAAAACGTGCCCGATCCCAAGACTCTAAGTACTGTATACGGAGTTGTCCATATAGGGGCCCCATATCACTACGCCTCATACTGGGGACCGTGTCTTCAAGGTAAATTCGCTCGCGGCCCTTTTTTGAATGTGCAATTCTCGTGTCTTGCGTTACCTGAGGGGAAACCGTGGTAAGGGCCGCCCGCTGGCACACTGCCAATGTTTAACCGGGGAATGGGTTGTCTTTTTTGAGGGTACCCTTTGAAAAGTTGGTGAAAGGGACACCAAAAAGGAAACCGAAATGCTTTGCGTTTCCACTCAGCAAATCCTGGTGAGGGCTGCGGTAATTGCTCGATTTGGGGTTGGTTGAAGACGAAGAAGTTTCCATTTCAGGGGGGTCCCTATTCTAAGACCCGCCCAAACCCCTCATGAATTCGTTGCCCAGCCGGCGACTTCGTCATCAGCCTCGCTGGCTCCGTGGGAGCCTCAGCCAGATGCTCCATCAGCTCCGGGAGCAAATCGGACGAAGAAAGTGTCATGCATCAAACCTGGCCGCCCATGTTTCCCCAAGCCAAACCCCCCCCCCCCACCCTCTGTTTTTGGTGGTCTTGGTGTTCAATGTGTCTCCAGGGCCCGGTGGATCGATCCAGTTACTCACTCCCTGAGTTGGGCAGATCAAGGTTGCTTCGGACATCTCCTGCGTTCAAGCTTTGAGAACATTTCGAGCCGCGCGAATCTGGGGTCGAGTGGATGGCTCAACACGGAAATCCGAAAGCATTTGTAGGAAGCTCCTCGAGCTTGCCCCGGGCTCACTGTCAAAAAAAGGTATGGGAGGAACATCAAGAACCATCATCGCACTTGAGCTTCGCTTAGCTTAGTACTGTTTTTCTTTTTTTCAGGGCCTGCAGGACGAGCATCGACGCATCGAGTGGTTGTATTGGGTACACACTGGAGGAGTCAAAAGCAAGGAGAGCAAGATTGGGTCTTCAACAAGCACTTTGCCTGATTTGCTTTCCCAGAGGCTCCCGAGTGATTTAGGGCCTTCAAACAAAACCTGGTTTTGAGACCCCGAACCACCGAAGCGGGGTGTCTAATGGAGTCGGGTCTTCCATTGAAAGTTCCAGGAGCCCCAGCCAAGGAAAAGCCATGCTCATTCGGGTGGCAAATTGCGATCCTGTTTCACCAACCAGATGGATCCAATGTCAACAGGACCAAAATCCTAATTCTCTGGCAAGCATTGGCACTTGACTCCTCGTGAGCTTGTCGCAATTTGAGTGGAGCATATGTTGCGTTGATTGCGTCTGGCCTTTTAGGTGGGAGAGCCAAGTCTTTGGTTTTGCCTTTGTGCTGAACAGGTCCTACTGTGGATGGTTGCGAAATCCAGAAATCTCACCACCAAAATCAGAAACCAAATGGAATGATATGACTCCCCAACAACGTAAATCCAACGAGCGTTCTGGTTTCAATCATGGTTTCTTACTTGGGTGTCCAACCAACTTAATTAGTTTGTCCACGGCTATCAGCCAACTAAGCTCAGTTCCCCGGTCACGTTGTCCAAGCAGGTGGTGCAAAATGGGCTTCGTTCATGCGCAGTAGTTGTGAGACGTGGAATTGGAAGTTTGTGGTACCAAAATAGCCACAGCTATGCTTTGGGCCAGTTCTTTGGAGCTGAAATCCTGCTGGAATATCCTTGGACGACTGGGAAGCCGCACCATGCATTTTTTGCTGGTCGGGGATTGACACTGTCCCCAAGAAAGCCACAAATCCTACTGGAACCCGTTCAATCCGTGGGCGCTTTCTGAAGGATTCGAAACTCCTAAGTGCCCCGAAGTGACTTATTGTTATGGTAGTGATCCATGATACTGAGGCACAAAATCCAGAGCACCTCAGCTATAGACTTCCATCCTTCAGGACTGGTGGAGGATTTTGCCCATCCACAGTACCACAAGGTTGATTTTCCACCACGGGTTTGTTTTTCAACTTCCCTCGAATGGCTGTGCTTGGATTGGTAGCTCGGACGTTTAAGAGCTGCCCATTCACTCTCTCTACAAGACCGGGTTCAAAAAACCCAAACCACCTATCCAATCCACACCACCAGCAAACAGTTACGTGATCTTTGGGGCATGATGGACATCTCACCCGCACTTGACAAGTCGAGGCGACGGGCACACTGTACGGCCGACGCCCAAGTAGCGCACTGACTCGCATGGAACGGGTCCAAAACATGGACTGACGGACCCAATCGCTGCATTCTTGTCGTGTTTTTTTTGAGGGTACCCGTGTTGCCTTGGTTTGAAGGGAAACCAAGGGACAACACCACCCTACGTTTCTTGGTGCCTGGCAAAACAGACACGCCGTTCGGCATTTTGACGAGTTTGAGTTTTGTTTTGTATGCCATGGCCTTTCATTGCCATGATGCATTGTGGAATCGTCTGACAATGTGCAGATGTCACGTCTCTCTTCGTGTTGTATTGCCCAGGTAGCACAGGACTTCTCACCATTTCCAGTTTTTTCCAGTCTTTATGCACATGGTACAACATGCAAAGTTTCTTGGGTACTTGGACTAGGTGGATTTGAATCCCACATGGGGTTCGCACGATCTGAGTCGTCCAGAAATTCCCTCACTTCTTGAGTTATGGACTTGAAACTTTTTGAGAACACCATTTTGGTGGAAAACCAAAAGTTCAGACTGTGTTTGGCCAGTCCACTCAATCGGAAGTGAGTTCCTGAATGTTTGGTGCAGCGAGGTAGGGGCACCTACTTTGCGGAGTCCATTACGAAGGCCGGCTCCGGTTCGATTTGTCTGACCTGGTTGTCCTTGTGGGCCCCTTCTAAGTACCTACCTTTTGCGCCCACTCAAAGTTAAACCTTTAGCAGGGGATTTGAGGGCAGCCCAGTTTAGACTTTGACTTGTTTCATTGAAATCAACGGGTTTCCGAATTGACCCCACAAAAAAGTTCCAGAGGGAGCAACCAAGGATGATTCCTGTGTTTTACTTTTGGAGTTGTCAAGTGAATTGAAACCTAAGAAACCCTGGAATGGTTGGATTCCCCAACGCAATTGCCAACAAATGTTTTGGTTTCAACCATGATTTCACGGGTGCGAAAGTGGATACCGCGAATCCATGCACAGTGAGGCTGTCAGTCGGGCCCCCAAAAGGGTTTGGCGCCACTTCAAGAAATGGTCGGAGACACCCCTTTGGATTTCGCCCTGTGGATGGTTTCGCGAAATCCAGAAGTCGCACCACCGTTCAGAAACCGTGGTTGAAACCATTGTTTGTTGGTATGTAGGGGGGGGGGGAAATGTGCCATTCCAGGGTTTCTGAACGGTGGTGCGACATGAATGTCATCCATCCAGTATGTTCCATGGTCAAAAGAGGGATAGGGATGTGGAAGGCCGACAAGGAGTTTTGACATGATTTGACCAATTTCAGCTCAGCTGGTGAGACTTTGTTTTTGCAGATCTCTCGAGGCCACCCCCCAAAACTTGTACCCTCCGCATGATGCGCGCGCGCGCCCGTTTCAAGTTGGCTTTCCCAGGCCTCATTTTTCTACCATGATCAAGGTCACCCCCCCCAAGTGGTAGGCAAAAGGGAAACAACCAACCATATTCTGACTTTGATAACCCCCAGGCACAGCCAAAGCAATGACACCTGTTTCCAACCCCCCAAAAGAAATGTACCCTCCGCATGATCCGCACGATCCACCCGTTTCAAGTTGGTTTTCCATGAAGGTCGCATCAGCTGGTCCCTCGCGTGCCATTCAGCCGTGCAGGCGGATGAGTATGCCAAGGCCAACGAGGAAGGGCTGTGCTGCGTCTTGGTGTGCCCGGGTCCTGATGCGCAAAGGAGCTCAAATCGAATCCACTCGACCGTCCGGTGCCCTTTGGGTCACGGGTCTGCAGTGTCCTAGGTGATTGTAAGTGGTTTGTGTCCATGTCTATTCTAGAATATGTATATTACGTAGCTCATTGTTGCTGTCCAGAAGACTAGGGACGTTAAGGGTCATCCTGGCCTTAATTCCATGTGCAGATGCGCATCATCGGTAAGCTGGAGCTTCTACTCCACTGCCAGGACAGCCAGAGACAACCAGAGTCCAGCTGGATCTTCCTGGACCCTCAGGATCAGCATAAACAAGGGGAATTCACCAAAAATCATTTGGAGTTGCAATCGCCCTTGTTTTAGTTGGGTTTTTGAGGGTTTAGGTTTCGTAAAGCCAAACGCCCTGCATGGCTTATGCACACCGTTGTCTCCCTGCATCCCCTCTGGGCTATCCCGGAGCCATGCAAGCTACCGAGAGCCTGAGGCAAAGTTGCAGCTGGCCACGTGCTCTACAATGATGAGGCATGTCGTTCTTTCGCTTCAAACGCGCTGGAAGGGAATGTCGTTG